TGGTATTTTTTTGTTCAAATATATATTTTCGTTATCATTTTATACAATCCCTTATAATTTGATAATTTTATAAAAAAGTGAATTTTTGCCTAATAGGACTCTTTGTTATATATTGTTATGACATTTTAACATCTTCTTAATTAAGCTCAATTATGCATTATTTATTAGAAATGCATTGAAAATAGATGTGGATATGTGCTTGAGTAATAGTTGATTGCTATTACTATTATAGTATTGTGATAATAATATGCGTGTGTGAAACAAATAAGTAAAGATTGGTTGACCCATTGGTTGGAGATTGATTGACATATATAGAATGGTGGGCCGAAGGGCTTTTTTTTTAAATACTGTGATTTGGTGTTATTCTCTACTAATTCATGTGATACACTGATTGATAGTTATATTGAGATTATTACTATATCGATGGGCAAAGGGTGACCACTCTATTTACTGAGCCAACAATTTACTAACATTGATATTGCCATTGAAAAACACCGTGATAGTCAGGACTTCTTATTTGTTTAGCTTGACTACTGAAATGCATATTCCTAAAACATATTTCTCAATATTGTATGGATTTATTTTTACTGCATGGATTTACTGATATTGTATTACTCTACTACTCCTGCCATCTGATTATTATGGTTATTGATATATATATATATAATTTGATACTACTGCTTCAATGTATTGATCTTATGCATGTGATACACTGAGCAAACAATAAAGAATAATTGGATTGCATGTGTATATTCCGATATGATTTTACTACATTGATTTGATTTCAACATTCATTAAAGATGTTTTATTTTGATGCTTTATACAATTTTATACTGACTGGTATTTTGGATACGACGATTGTTTTATAGATTTAACATTTGTACTAGTTTACTGCTTTACTAGCTTTCAGTGTGTAGTATTTTATTGTTTACAGATTCTACTGCTAATGTATTTGAGTTTTTCTGTTCTTGTACATATTCAATGATTATATAACTATTACTCCTATAATTTGATCCTTAATATGCATAATGCTCTTTTACCATGCTTTTAATTCAGTTATGAGTTTTGGTGATTTGCTCGGCTTTTTAAGCTTATGATATGTGGTTAAATAATTTCAGGTCATGGAAGGGAAGCATGACTGTGAGGCTGGTCAGGATTCTTCAGATTCTGTTTCTTTTTATTATAGTTTTGAGTTGTGTATATGATTTTTAGAAATGAATATAGAAGTATATATTGATGTTTTAAATTATAGAATTTGTTGCATTGTTTATTACTAGTAGATAATATTAGATAACTATGATTATTGTTTATTAAAAGATTAAATCTTCTAATTTAAATCCGGAGGAATCACAATACACTTGTAGATATAATACAAAACAAGTATATACGTGAAATTATTGGAGTAGCTCCAGTGACAAATAAGATTAGAGAAAGTCATCTTAGATGATTTGGCCACAAAATGTCGACCTTCCAAGGATAAAGTTAGGAGAGTAGATGAATTAAAATTGGAATATGCTAAGAAATATAAAGGTATCCTAAAAGGACTTGGTTATAAAGTATAAAAAAATAACCTTTTTATTATATTTAAATGAAAATTTGCAAGGTTTTAAAAATTGGACCGGACCAGACCAGTTATACCATTTAAACTAAGACATAGCCGGTTGGCCGGTTTGGTTCCTTGCAAAATCAATTTTTCACAAAATCGAGAATAACTGACTCAAATTGATGGTTAATTCTCTGGTGTCATTTTTCAAGAAACAGACTGTTAAAAAATAATTGATTTTCAACCATTGATTTTAAATCCAATGGTTTGAAACATCAAATTGAAGTTAAAATGATATCTAATTCGACTTCGCTCCTAATCCTGTGAGTCTTCCTCGTCCCCGTTTCTGTTCTTGTTCCCAAACTTGAAGCTCGATCACAAGCTCGTTGTCTCCGACGAAGGCTTCTCACCACAGCAGGCACTCGTCATCTCCAACATCAAACATCTCTTTCAACATCTACAGTTTCTTCCAGTGGATGTAAGATTTCATTATGAAGATGTTTAAATTTCTTGATTTATTAACTTTAGCTTTTGAGCTTCAAAAATATTTGTGAAATGTTCATTAAATTTATTGTGCAATAAATTTTTTATATGGTCGATTACAAAAGCTTTGTGAAACCCTAATTTTTAGTCTTTGTGCGCGTGTGTGTGTGTTTTTTTTTTATAATGAATAGGGTCTTTTAAAGTCATTGTTTATTAATTCTATTTGGCATTTGTATTTCAATGATATGGTATTATGGTTTTGGATGATGATAAATCTACTTCATCTAGAAGTTATAGCACTTGCAAAGCTAAAATGCAATCAAATAACTTCAATAATAAGAGTGGTAGCATATGAGAATTTGGTAGCTCAAGCATATCAAAATTTAACATATTGCCTTAAATGACTTATTTCTTTAGCTAGAATAGGGGGTTGTGTTTTTTCTATGTAGAATGTGTCTAAATTGTTGAGTTGTCCAATGCTAAATTTAACCTAATAATCATAAATCTTGTTTTCTTATTCACATACTTTACACCTCAAATTAGGGTTTAGTAATATAAATTGTTCTTGATGTATCCATGATGGTTTTACCACACGTTCCTTTCAATATTTTCATTTATACCACAAGCAACTCACTATTAATGACTTATATAATGCCAACACTCACATTCATAGTACATAGCTAATCACATTACATGTATATAAAATTCATATATTTGGAATGATTGCATCATTATTATGTTAATTTTTTTTTTAATAAAGTTAGTATTTATTACATCATTCAGTTCAATCATGGTCAAACCATTGAATCATGAACCTCTCCCACTTTCGGTTCATTGTTCGGTCTGGTTTTCACAACCTTGAAAATTTGACTCTTAATAAGACACATCGGAGAAAGGGTATTAATGTCGTTAACCTCACATTGTGGTGTAAAGGTTTGATGTTATTGTTTTTTGTGGTGGTATTTTTTATGTGGTTTAAAGATTTAAATGTTATATGGAAACATATAAAGATTTAAAGTATTAAATACATAATTACATAAGAATTATGTGGTATGTATGTAAATTCCCCAAAAAATTATCAAACAAGTCCCCCATCCACATTACCATATGATTCTCATTCCTCAACTTGATCGACATACCATTTCTACAACAACACCATCAAGATAAAACACTCCATGAGTCTAGGATTGGTAATTCTAAGGATAACATGAAATGACTACAAAATGCACTAACAAATGCCAAATCAACTTATTGCCAAGTCATTTCCAAATCAAAATATAAGGTATATGTTGTCATGAACTCACAACGTAGATGAGTGTAACGTGAATGCTGGACGACCATGCCCCATATCAAAAAATTTAATGAATATCAAGGCTAGAAAAAATTTTAACCTATAAACTAGAAATGCATTACAACTTACATGCATTACTTGATAGTCCTTTTTTATATTAGTACATATGGTTGTGAATTTGATTCATTTTCCCCATAAAATAGGATTTCACATAGATGTCGGAAATGGGTTGAATTAGTAAAAATGTTATTTTTCATTGGTAAGGAATCCAGAAAAGGACAAACCACGCTTGCAAACTAAACAAAGCAGTACATGTAGTCACAAACGCATAGTGCAAAAGGGAGTGCAAGATCAAGCCTAGTCTCTAAAAATTTAATATCAACATTTGACAAATATTAACAAATCAAACGAAGATGTATGTAAAAAGCACCATAACTTGTTATTCATTTTTTTAGACTATTATAAATGATTGTGACCTTTAGTTACTTACCTCCAAAACATAATTTCATCATAGATGTCAAATGTACATTCCAGTCATAAATTAGTATTTTAACGTTAAAAATACTCAGAAAGGATAACTGCAAAGTTCAAGCATAGATGAATGTTCGGTCGCATCAATAAAAACAATTGACTTAAAGCACTAAAAGCTATCGCAATAAGAACACCGTGACTAAATGCTTATGTTAATTGGAAATGTGCCAAATCCATAGCCCTGTAAAAGGCCAAACAAGTAAGCACGTGAAGTTTCAAACCCCTTCTCCTCCCAACATAGATGTCGATAACATCCATATCTTCATTTTCAGTTTCTTCATCATCTTCTCTAGACTCTAACACGAAGCTCGACACACAATGCTGCTTCACCAACGACCTATGAAAAATCTGTCGACAAAGTGGGCAGAAACATCCCATTGCCTGGATTGTATAGTTGGGGTGTCAAAAGGGAGCATTTACGAAAACTATCATGTCTTCTTCTGAAAGGTTATGCCCTGCTAAGTGAAAGAAAACTAAGGAATCGAATCAACATGCTTAATGAAGTTTGGAGAAATAAGAGAGAGAAGGTACCACACTTTATGTAAGAGATTGACAAACTTGGGATTTGACTCAAGGTCGTGATAGTGAACAAGATAAGGAAGAAAAGTAGTTTCAGAGGAGAAAGATGTCGTGTGTGCTTTTAGAGAAGAAAGACGTCGTGTGTGCCAAAACCCTTATATTGCCCAAAGGGAGATTGACTTGCTTGCAAAAATTAGTTCAATCGATGAAGGCGGTGGTTTAGATTAAAGTTGACAACTTCAAATCGTGTAGAACATTTTGGGGCTTTTTTGCAACAAATGAGATTTAACTTTGCTGGGATTTAGATTTAGTAAATCCTGTAAATCCGAATTTAGTAAATTCCGAGAGTGATAAATCCTGAAAATTATTTGGTATAACAAATATTAAATCTTTAGAAACTGTTTGGTAACATATTATAGGGTTTATGACAGTTAGAAATTTAAATGTGAAGAAGACAATTATAAATTAAAAATTAAAATTAATGTGTTATGAATTTAATAATATGTTAAGTAGAAATTACTCATTAATTATTATTTACATAATTCTTTATATATTTAATATTTAAAATTATATTAATTAAGTTAAATAATAATAACTTAAGAGGCGCCTAGGGCTTGCCTTTAATCTTCTCTTTTAGTCGGCTTCGTTGTTTCACAGGTGTTGCCGTAGAGTTGCATGCGTTGCTTGTTCGGCTCCTTCGTGGCTGTTCTGACTGCGCTCCTTCTCCCTTCCTGTCGGTTCGAAAGTTACGACATTTTGATCGGAAGCAACAACGGGAGCTCGCTGTAACTTTGTCCCTTTCGCGCGCTTCGTCGACCAAATCCCGTAAATCCGCCGAACGGAGGGATTTAGTAAATCTGGATAAATCCGGGATTTACCCATCGCTGTAATTTAACGCGCGGACAAAAATCGTTTGGCTGGATTTAGCGTAAATCCGATTTAAATCCCGCTGTAAATTCGATACCAAACAGCTTCAGTAGGATTTAAAGTTGATTTTGGGAACGCAATGTCTTTTTGCTGTGAAAATGCTCTTCTCCGTTTTCTTGCCAGATGTCCACAACTTCAGTCCAATCCCAAGTTTGTCGGTCTCGTGCAGAAGGTGCGGTATATTCTCCCTTTTATTTCTCCGAACTTCATTAAGCAGGTGATTCAGTTCCTTAGTTTTCTTTCACTTAGCAGGGGCGGAACCTTTCAGAGGAAGACTTGGTAGCTGTCGTAACTATTCCCTTTCTACACCCCAACTATACAATCCGGGCAATGGGATGTTTCCGCCCACTTTGTCGACAGATTATGCAGAGGGCAGTGGCGAAGCTGCATAGTGTGCCGAACTTGGTGTTAGAATTTGGAGAAGATGATGAAGAAATTGGAAATGAAGATATGGATGTGATCGACTTCTATGTTAGGAGGAGAAGGGGTTTGAGACTTCACGAGCTTGCTTGCTTGGCCTTTTGCAGAGCTATGGATTTGGCCCCTTTCTTATTAACGTAAGCATTTATTCATGGTATTTTTACTGCGAGAGTTTTTAGTGTTTTAAGTCGATTGTTTTTGTTGACGCGACCGAACGTCCTTTTATGCTCGAACTTTGTACTTGTCCATTATGAGTTTTTTTAGCATTAAAATACTAATTTAATAGCTGCAATATACATTGGACATCTATGATGAAATTTTGTTTTGGAGGCAAGTAACTGAATGTCACAATCATTTGCATTAGTCTAAAAAAATGAATAACAAGTTATGGTACATTTTACTGACATCTCAATTTGATCTGTTAATATTTGTCTAGTATTGATATTAAAATTTGAAATATTAGGCTTGACCTTACATTCCCTTTTGCCTTGTGAGTTTGTGACTACATATACCCCTTTGTTTAGTTTGCAAGTGTCGTCTGTCCTTTCTTATATTCCTTACAAATGAAAAATACCGTTTATACTAATTTAACAGTTTATGGGGAAAATGAGTCAAATTCACAAACGTTTGTACTAATATAAAAAAGGACTATCAAGTTATGCATGTAAGTTGTAGTGCAATTCCAGTTTATAGGTTAATGTTTTTTCTAGCATTGATATTCATTAAATTTTTGGATATGGGGCTTGGTTGTCCAGCATCACATTATACTTACGCACGTTGTGAGTCCGTGACTACATATACCTGTTATTTTGATCTTGACACGGCAAGAAGTTGTTTTGGCAATTGTTAGTGGATTTTGTGGTCATTTCTTGCTATCCTTAGAATTACCAATTCTAGACTCATATGGAGTGTTTTATCTTGAAGTTGTTACTATAGAAATGATATGTAGATCATGCTGAGGAATGAGAATCAGATGGTAGTGTGGATGGGGGACTTGTTTGATAAATTTTTGGGGAATTTACATACATACCACATAATTCTTATGTATTTATATTTCTAATACTTCAAATCTTTATATTTTTCTATATCACATTTAAATCTTTAAATTACATGAAAAATACCACCACAAAAAACAACAACATCAAGACTTTACACCACAATGTGGGGTCAATGACATGAATCCTTTTTCTCCATTGTGTCCTATTAAGAGTCAAAATTTCAAGGTTGTGAAAATCAGAACGGACAACAATCAGAAGAAGGAGAGATTTACGATTTGATAGTTCACTTATGGTTGAATCAAATGATGTAATAAATACCAATTTTATTAAAAAAAATAAAATTAACATAATATTGATGCAATCATTTCAAATATATGAATTTTATAAACTTATAATATGATTAGCTATGTAATATGAATGTGAGTGTTGACATTAAATAAGTCATTAATAATAAGTTGCTTGTGGTAGAAATGAAAATATTGAAATGAACGTGTGGTAAAATCATCCTGGATACATTGAGAACAATTTATATTACTAAACCCTAACTTATGGTGTATGGTATGTGAATAAGCAAACGAGTGATTTATGATTATTAAGTTAATTTTAGCATTGGACAATTGAACAATTCACACACATTCTACATAGATAAAAAAACAACCCCTATTCTAGCAAAAAAAAAAAAAAAAATCATTACGGCGATATATTAATCTTGATATAAGTGCAATAATTGCTAGAACTATGAATAGCATATTAATTTATTATTATGCAGAAAATGACTGCAAAATCATTTTTATTTTTTTAACTTATTAAATCGACAATCATATGAAAAGGGTTGTCGGGAAACCTAATTAGTTACCACCTTTCTCAATAATGATGGGTAAGTCCAAGAGTTGCTTTGCTAGACCCTCTATTTTGGTGATGTGCATCAGTTGGATAATCTAAAAAACAAATTAGTTAGTTCTCTTCAGTTTATAATAATTTAGCATGAGCAATGAGAGTCGATCTTCAAAATTGTGTTCGCGAAAGTTATTTTCTAGCCTCTTTACTTGAAATTGAGAAATTCCTAGTTAATAACCAAAGTGAAACGTAGAAAAGCCTCAACAACATCAATTTCCATTTTTACTTTAGTGCATAATTGCGAGATTTCAATCTTAATGTATGTGCAATAATTACTAGTTTTCAATCTTAATATAAGTACAACAATTGCTAGATATATGAATAGCATATTGTTTTATTAATATGCAGAAAATCACTATAACCATGAAATGATTTTTAAAATTTATCAAACAAACAATCATATGAAGAGGGTTGCCGGGAAGTCCAGTTAGTTGCCACCTTTCTCAATATTTATAGTTAATTTTGAGAGCGGATTTGCTAGACCCTCTAAGTTGGATAATCTAACCAATAAACTAATTAGTTCTCTTCAGTTTATAATAAGTTGGCTTGAGTAGTGATAGCCAATCTTTCTAAAATTGGTTTAGCTTAAAAAATTTAATTAAAAAAACCTATTTTGGAATCTAGTATCTAAAATCCACAAAATAGTTTGGTTTCTTTACTGAGCAAAAAATGAAGAAAAAGGGAAACTAATCCCAAATCTAATTAATAATATTTGTTAAAATCATGGGCTTAGTTATAGCTGGGGGATTGGTGATTGTGCTTTCGTTGCCTCAGCCTAATTGAAAAAGTAATTCATGTTTTTAATTTTATTGAAACCCTAAAATAATGTATGATCCCTGCTCCTTGCCCGATTCTGCAGTCGCAAAAACTCATGCTGCATGCATAGATATGCGTTGCATCCTACGTTGAATCCCCTTGTTCGTGTAATCGCTGTAGATAGATTCTTTGGTTGGGATGAGTTCTTCTGAAATTTATGCTGGCTATAATTGCTATTTGAATGATATATTATATTTTGTGAAAGGTGGATACGTATCAGTTAAAAGTTATGTTGCTCTATTTCTTTTCAAATATTATCAAAGAGTAGATTGAAATTTGTAGATTTTCCAAGTGATGTAAATTTTGCTTGTTTCAGGTATCTGTTAACTTATTTTCAGTTTGCACCAGCTCCCTTCAGACGCCTTTTGTCAGTGGAGAAAGCATTGTACTTCACAGAAAAGGTTTCCTCTTTTGAAGCCTTTTATTTAGTATTTAATTTACAAAGTCAATTCTTGTAACATCAAATCAGGATTCGATCCTTATCGTGACTGCTGACATTAATAATATTGGCTACGCGAAGAACATGGTTGTTAACTGAATTTTCAAATGGAAATTCCTTTTTTTTTATGTTCACTTGAATTTAAGTTTGATGATGTTCTTTAATAGTATGTTTTGAAAGGCAATCATAGTTTACGGCCTTGGGGAGGACGTGACACTAAGGTTTTAATACTTAATTGTTAGATTTCCTGCCAATCTTTTGTTTGAGAAGTTTTGGCTATTTTTACATTTTTATTTGTAGTTTTCTTATTGATTTTTGCTGCATCTGGAATTATTTTTTAATATTTTATTGATTCTTGTATATTTGAAGTATTATACATTTTTGTGAAATATTAAGAAAGCTTTTTACCCAAGCCAAGAGCCATCCTCAATGATTTACTTTTGACGGACTAAGCACTATTGCCATGCGATAATAACACCACAACCAAGTACAGTAGATTGTATTTCTAGATATGCTCTATGTATCTGATAATTATATCATTTTTATGAATCCTCATTTTTATTTTGAGTACCGTCTGTAGCGTCAAAGTATCTTGGGTTAGCTGTAAGAACATGGTAATGATAACTATCTTTATTATGATTTAATAATACTAAATGTAATTTTAAAACATGTAACAGATTAGCACAACAGATATACTATAATGCTTAATTAATATTTACACATTTGCATACACATTAGAGATTAACATTGATGTGAAACAATCAAGAATTGCACGAGAAATTTTAAAAGAATTACAAAGTTTGCTACTTGAAGATTAAAGTTTCGTAAGGCGAGATTCAAGAGCTTTCAATTGGCAAAATTATTATGATAAGCAATTACAAGACTCGAAGTTTGGAACAATTGAAGATAAATATGAAATTATCACAATAAAAACAAATGCGTAGTAGTACAATCCCACGGTTAATATTTAGAGAATTCACTATGAGTTACCATGCTCACTCACGCTCAAAGTATGGCTTAGCGGAGGAAGGCTTTCAGAATGCCCAACGATGCCACGAGGACGGTCGCAACGCCAATGGTCTTGATCCACGGAAAGGTCGGCGCTGGTGGAGATGGCACTTGGATGACCGTTGATGGTCCAATCGTAGTCCAAGAATTGGTAGTCGACGATCTCCACGAGGGTAGGGAGGATTCGATTCAAGTAATCCTCGACGGTATTGTCAAAGCCAAACCCGATGTCGAAGAAGGGCGATCGAGCGATGTGGATGTCTCCGTAGACGTCGAGTACGAATCCGCAATCAACTTTGGTATCCGCCATTCATCCTTGCCAGCAATGAAAGAACACTAATAAGGAGAAAGGAGATATGAGGTGGTGAGGGAGAGCACTTGTGGTTTGAGAGGAAGGAAGAGGGAGAAGAGAGGGGCGGCGATTTTCCAAGAGAGAGCAATTACGTTTAGGCCAAGAGCAATAGATCTTTAATCCAAAAACCTGAAATTAAAATTAATTTCAGGTTTTAAGTGGATTTGGAGGGAAATCCAAATTGAAAATAATTTCAAATTTCAAAGGAGTTAAAAGGGAGTTAGTGGGAAAATAATGGGAGCCCATCAAAGGTGGCCGGCGGCTTAGAGAGAGAGGGAGGGAGGTTATGAAATTTGAAATCCAAATCAATTACAATTAATGCATTGAATTAGCATTAATGGGGCTTCCACCCTAGCATGGCCGACGACTTGTAGAGAGAGAGGGAGGAGATTGGGGAGATTTAAAAGCTTCTAAATGCAGCCCACCAAATAAGGATGAGAAATAATTAAATCCGCTTCAATTTAAAATTAAATTGAATGAGACTCAAACTTTCCAAATACGGCGGAGGGCAAATTAGGAAAGATTTTGAAATTCAAATTTGAATTTCAAAATTGGGGAATTCTCTTTCCTAACTCAAAAGGGGTTTATTTTGGTAAGTTATCATGATGTCATTACTCCTCAATAATGGTGAGGGCAAAGAGGGAGGCCGACGGTATGGTGGAGGGGAATTAGGAATCCGGGTGGGGATTTTGGGAGTAGGTTGATGATAGGGATTAGGTATATATATAGGCATCACAATGACAAATAAACAAAAGACAACAATGCCCCTCGGGCTACAATAGTGACCAACTACCCATAAGGGCAAAAACGGAAAACTGAAGAAATAATAATGACTAATACATAAAATGCGTCAGTAGAGACTCTCCATCGATCTCCTGTGTCGCCTCTGATAGACACGTCGAAATCTCGTATCGATGTCCCCATCAAACATAAATCTATCATATGAATTCCTTGTAACTGAAACCGATAGTTGTTTTAATGGTTATTAACTCTTTTTTTATGCTTATAAGGTTGTAGTTTGACATGCATCTTGAACAAAAATTGCATTCTTTTATGCTACGTCACTTAACTCCCCTGCTATATGCAAATTGTTCATGTCTGTGATTAGATGGCAAGTCGTTTGTGTGTGACCTGTGAGTTATTCACAAAAACCTAACACACCTATCTGGACCTGCATGCCCGTTGCACCACTTGCTCACAGTCTGCTTTCACTCTCAAACCCAGTCTTCACTGAAGAGCATTTAAATTAGCGTGTAAGCCTTTACTTGCTAAAATTTTGGTTAGTATGGGCTGAACTTTCCCATTTATTCTTTGGTACGATCTGAAACACGATGAACACATCAAAATAGAGTCGGTTATAGTTGACATCTATCAATCTCAGATTATATTAATACCGGATATGAAACTTGTCATGCATTGGTTTTAAAGCTGGCATTATGCTGGCCAATGTGATGTAGAATTACATGCATGGATAATTATGCATTGTCAAAATTACATGCATTTTAAATTAGAGCAATAATAATTACATTACTTCTAGTGATTTAAACAAATATTAAAATAATAGAGAGGTGATTAAAGCTCAGGCCAAACTACATATAATAGTTAAAATCATGAATTATCAATTCCAATCAAGATTAGCATAGCTTGAGGGATTTTCATAGGAAATCCCTAAATTAACAATAAGATTAGGCACTACTTGGATCCACTCACTCACACTCTTGATGTAGGCTAAACGGTGATAGATTGCACATCCTTTATGATGCCACAACTTAAAGGGAAGACTTAGAAAAGTAAAATACTTGGAGGAGAAATTTACCTTTATCAGGATTTGGAAATGATCTGCCACTGGGCGGGATAGAGTTGTTCGTCGATAGCGGCGGTGAGAGAGAAGATAATCCTTTCGACTTAATTCTTCAACGGTACGGTCGACCTCCAAGCTGATGTCGAAGAACGGAGATTTGATGATATCAAATTGTCCTTGATCATCGTGGACAAATCCGTGATCAAGTTCTGGATCCGCCATACACGAGGGAATAACATATTTTAATGTACTGGTGCTTCTTGACAACAAACGGTGTTTTTACGGAGGGCTGGGACAACAAAGATCCTTGATGAAATTTTCAGGACAACAATTTTGATATATCCAGGAAATTTGGACAGCAGTTGGTTAAGTGGAATTCCCTCGGGATTGATATCGGTGGGAGAAAATTTTGGAGAACTAACTTCAAGTAGCTAGGAGGATGTGGTGGGGGGCCAAAGTAGAAAGAGAGGGAGAAGATCTCCGGATTTTGGTACGTGATTAAATGAAGGGGAGGTAATTAAAATTCTGAAGTTTTTAATTTCAGATTTTAATGTTGCTAGAAAGGGAATAGTTTGAATTTGAATCTCTTCTAATTGGGGATAGGTAGGGGCGGCACACCTTAATGGGAGGGGATTTGATTGGGAGCATTAGTGGGGAAGAACTAATGGAAGGAGGGAGGTAGGGCCGGCAGCTACAGGATGGAGGGGGGTTTAGGAAAGATTTCAAATGGTTTCCTAGGAGATTTATTGCCCATATCTCTTTCAATTTAACTTCAAATAAAATTTATTTGATTTAGAAACTTTTCAAATATAACGTATGTTAAATTAGGAAAGAATTCAAATTTGAATTTGATTCAAAATTGAATTGATTATCTTCCCAAATTTATCATGATCAATTTTAGAAAAGTAATGAAG